CAGTTTAATTATTATATATTATCCTGTTTCACAGGACATTTCAAAATGGTGAACATCAGTAGCGATAAGACAAACATATTTGCAGCTGATACTACAAAATTGAAAATAAGTCTTTGTGAACTGATTACCTAATTTACTGATTCTCCGCCATTCAAGATATGATTTGGTTTTATTTCCGTTATTCTAAAAATGTGTTACCCGTATATATAAATAAATGACATTACATTACGCATTACATTATACATTACGTTATACATTACATTACATTACATATTACATATTATATTACACATCACACTTACACATTACATTATATTACATATCACATTACATTACACATTACACATTACATTATGTTACATTGAATATTTGTGTTGTTTCCTCTGAAATGTATAAGTCAAATTCAACTTTCTGTCGTTGATATTCGGCAATTACAATTAACGTTAGCGCAACGATAAATATAAATTTCCTTTCTCGCGTAGAATGCTATTAACGACAAAGAATTGTTGATCAACGTAGCTGTGAAAAAGATCGTGGTATAAGGGACCAACATTTTGCTACCAAAGATCTGCTCTTCGATAGATACTGGCTCCGATATCTTCGTAAAAAATTCTAAAGAAATATTTATTATAAGGTTGATTTCTACGTCTTCAGGAATAGATTTCAAAAATTTGGTAACATTTCGTGCGTTATTTCTACTTTAGCTACTTTTGTATTAATATTTTTCTCAACAAACAGACACGCATGTAACCGCATGGGCAACCCGATGATAGGTCGTCGTCGGAGTTACGAATGCGCCCACATTTTATGTTCGCGGTCCTATTGGAAAATCTGTCATCAACGACGCTAACAGTCCTCCAGATTTTCCGAAAATTTCCTACGAGATCGCGACAGTTCTCGAACGACTCCGCGTGGCGATTCTTTGTCATACGTGTTTGCGTATGGCCGTGCCTGCCGGCTGATTGCGGATCACGGAAAACCGCAGGCTTAGCTGGCTGTGGATCGGATCTACGCCGATCGGATAATGCTCTTAATGGCAGAAACTGCGTCAAACGTTCCTCGGCTTGGATATTATTAAACCGCGTTAAGAAGATTCGTTCCTCGCGCAGGGAATACCGGGAACACCGGGCGCCCGACCATTTAGAGAACTTGTTTGCGTCCTCGCCTCGATGACTTAAGCGAAACGCATTAAGTCATCCGGGATGGGATACGAGAACGGGAACGAGAACGAGCCGCCACGGTTTTGCCAGAATACGTAACGCCTCGCGAAACCTCCGAGAAAACCGTACTTTCCGACGAACGAAACGGAATCGTCGTCGCCCTCTCGCCGTTTGTCCTAAACGCTATCGTCGTCGTGCTCGTCGTGCTCGTAATCAGAAATACCTCTCGTCCACCGTCCGGGGAGGTTCCAAATTAATTAACCCTTTGAGGGGGCCGACGTAATGGGGGAAACACCTCTCAGAAGTCGAGCGTTGCGTTTACGAAATCATCAGCTGTGCGTTTGTGCGTCGCGCCGAGACGCGGACGTCTTCGCTGTTTCGCGATTCGGTTGGCCAACGGGGATCATTAGTTTTGGAAGCTATTTACAGTCATTTCTCTCGCATTGTCCCTCAGCTTCGGAACGAAAATGGACATCTTGGGAAGAGGAGATATTTGTTGATGAACGGCGGCTATAGAAAGCCGAGCCGCGAGGCTCGAATAATCAATCGTATCTCCTCTACCCAAGTTATCGATTTTCGTTCCCAAGCAAAGGGACAATGTAAGAGAAATTAGTGTACCACGATCAATGGGACTCCGTGGAACCCAATTTAAAGTTCTGGGTGCCACGAGTACGACGACGAAAGGAACGACGACGATGAGATTACTTATCGACGGAAAATCGTTTTAAAAGTCTGCATCGATATCACAATTTTGGGGCTCGAACGGTTCCATTCCCAGGAGAACTCAAGCTGTATCGAATGCCAAAGGTGTCCAAGATTAATTCTAAAATGCGGTCACACAGTGTTCAGCCTTATCTGCGACAGATAAAATCTAGAAATTTCAATCCGTACGCCGCGTCTCGCGCGGCGGCCCCATTAGATACGGAACAGCGTCCAGAGGTTCTCGTATTTTTCTTGCCGGTAACGGCCGCAACGGGTTCAAGCGGCCTATTCTCGCCTCGTATTTGAGAAAAGCTTGAAATCTGGTTCCGCCATTCTCCCCGTTCGGCGGATCGGAGGATCGCGGCACAAAGGAAGACGTCCCCGACGCCGCTTTCGCTCCGGAAGAGATAGCGGAGAATACCAATTAAGAGTAAGAAGCTTAGGGGGACGAGACCTATTAGCGTTTATTAGTTTCTCATTTCTCTTCACCCGCATTCGTCTGCCTCGACCGCAATATATCCACCTATGCCGCGTAGAAACCATTTGGCGCTTCTCGAAGCGACAGGGTTCGCACCGAAATTCTCAGGCGCGCGTTCCCACGTGTTTCGTCGATCCGGAGGTCTTCTTTCAGCCAGCGATCGGGACGATCGAGCCGAAAAAAGGGAGATCGAATCACGCACCGGAAGGTTTCGGGATAGAAAAAAAAGTGGGTGTCGGTATCGGTGCAGCGCGATGCAATCTGTTCCCGTCCAGCCGGAAAACGATGCCGGAGCATGGGCGCGGAGCGTGGTGCAGAGGGTGGCGCGCAGCGAACCGCATGTGTCCAGGCTGTCTAAAATTTCTGCGGAGCCGAGCAAGGTGGCCGGTACGCTTGGTATTCGTTTCATGAAGGTGAATAAGAGATTCGCCGGCGGTGTCGGCATCAGTGTCGTCGCCAGCCTCGGCGTCGGCGCCGGAGTCGCGAGTCGCGAGTCCCGGTACACACGCTGTCGGCCCCGACCCCGGCACCGGTGTAGTGTTTTCCACTTCCTCACGGCTGAAAAATGACACGCGAGTAAGGTAAATACGTTGCTGAGGCCGGTGGGAAGGCGTCGGGCAGCGACGACGGCCACGAGCACGAGGACGAAGACGGGGATCGGCAATCACAGCCATTAGCCGCTATTTTTGTCGGAGGACCGAGAAACGCAGTGTTTTCGTGCGGCTAAAGCCGTTTCGACACTCGGGACGACTTCATCGGCGACTACCGTTTCGGACACCGAAATCTCGGACGAGTTATCTCGCCGGGCCCGTTTCTTTCTCCTCCGACGATCCTCCCCCGCGACAATTTTTCTACGATCTTCGATCTCGGTTTGCCGCGGCGATAATCGTCATCGTTAAGCCCTTTTCGGGTCGTTGCAACCGGACGAGTTGAGCATCCTGAAAGTAGTAGTAGCTTCGATCTACACATTGTCTCTCAGCTTGGTAACGAAGATGGACGACCTCGGACGAGGAGATGATACGTCGTTGAAAATCGGCGACTGTAAAAACGAGCCGCGAAGCTCGAATAATAATAAATCTTCCCAAGCTGCCCATTTTCGTGTCCAAGCTGACGAACAATGTCAGAGAGATTACTGTAACACCAAATGCGATTCCAAATGATGTAATACGATTTATAAAATGCGGACTAGCCGCGCACGAGAAGGAACGCGTTCCCGTAATTCGCATTACAGTAAATTCTTCCTAATCGACTCACAGATTGTGCACGAAAATAGATAATTTGGAAATAGGAGATACGATTAATCGAGCCTCGCGGCTCGTTTTTCTAGTTACCGATTGTCAACAACTGTAAAAACGAGCCGCGAGGCTTCTCAAATTGTCCATTTTTCTGTATAATCTGAGCGTCGATCAGGGAGAATTTGCTGCACTTCCACGTTCCATTCGACACGATTTCGATGCGACGCGGAAACAACCGTGTTACAGGATGATGGTTGTTGATGTAACTAGTATTTGCAAAATATGGCCGTAGCAACGGTTGAAGAAGGAAGACTAATGGATCCGATTGAAATTGTTCTCGGAGCAATTTTCGAGGACACGTTCCACGCGGAAAACTTCCTCTGTTCGAGCACGATTCGCGTACGGTTTTTTTCTTCTTCTAATGGTGGCCGGTATTTGCTCGTGCTCGCAGAAATGTGATATTAACGCGTACCGTGGTTTCTTTCCTCGAACGGCTTTAAAATACAAGACGACGTCCTCGGGTGCGCGCCGGTATCCCGTGGCTCTTTATTTCTCGAGACGTTTCGAAACAAATCCCACGAACAAATAAATAAGACCAAGAGATATATCGTTTCCCCGAAGGAACGAGTAGGCGGTGTCCGAATTATTCGCGGGAAAATTTTCCCACCGGCCGTCCCGAATACCGTGCAAACGACGCTTCCGCGGGGTTGGGCCTGATTTTGGCCAGGCCGAACGCGGCCCAGACCGCGACCAGTTGCACGCTGCTTCGCGTCTTTCCAATGTCTCCTACAGTTCCTTCTCCTGTAGTTGCGGAAATACATGCACGGGATGCCATCGCAGGGTTGAAAATACAAAAAACCCGCTGCTTTCGACTCGGCTTGTTGCGACACAGAACGAACAACGACAATGGCGGAGTCTCGTTCAAAAATATTTTTCTCGAACGATTAAATTGCGTACCGAAGATCTAGTCCCGATGTCGTCCCATGTGTCGACGTTTGTCCTCAAAGGGTTGACCACCGGGGTCAATTATACTTGGTCGAACGAAACGCGACAGGTTATTTTGTCCGAGGGTGAAAGGAAACGGTGCTTTCCTGGAAGTGTTGTTGGCTCCGGGGAAGCTTGTCGGACAGAATGGCAGGGTAGGAAAGCTCGAAATTTCCGTGATGAAAAAAATGTGTTTTATTGGAGCTGCGACTGTGGTTGCGGCCTGTGTGGCTGTGGGCTCGCGCACACCGCTCGGTCGGCCGCTCTTACTCGTTCGCGTCGTCGTCTTTTGAATGGGACTAATTTTAGAATGCGCCTACTATATGTGGATAACTGTATACGCGCCGGTGGCGTATTCAGTTTCTGCAGGACGGGGCCCGCCGCGCCACGCTTAGTACGCGGAAAATAGCGTCGTTCACAGTGTTAATTTTCTGTTTCCAGCCACCTGACGCGAACCACGACATGGGAGGATCCGCGAAAAACAGCGGCCGCAGCGAACGTGGCCGCCGTCGCCGCCGCCGTCGACAACGGAAAGTCCTCCAGCGCTGTTGCGGACTCCCTGGGCCCGTTGCCCGAGGGATGGGAGCAGGCCCGCACCCCCGAAGGAGAAATATACTTCATTAATCACCAGACGCGCACCACCTCCTGGTTCGACCCGAGAATCCGTAAGTGTCTCCATCCCCATCTATTCCTGCGATTGCGGAAATCAAATATAAATCTTCGTTCGAAGTTGTATCCTCTCGATATAACCTTCGAGCACACCAGCGGGTCCGATTCTCCGAATCTAGAACCCTTTGATAACCAGTCTCTATTTATAACTCATTTGCACCGTTGATCTGTGTCGAGAAAAGCGGTAGAAAGCGACGAGTAAAGAAATGCAAACGGTAAAGCAGCTTCATCCTTTGATCACTTTAAATAATACTGTAGAAAACAATAATGTTTCGTTATCCTCGTTGCGATACAAACGGGTTGGAACGACTAGCCTCGTGGATTTACTTTGTATTCACAGAGGAAACGTGTTTCAGCTACCCATCTCCAGAGAGCCCCCACTTCCGGCGCCATGCTACCCCAGAACTGGCTCCAACAGCAGCCCGCAGGGGGTGGTATCCAGAGCAATCAAACGTTGCAGGTGTGTCAGCAGAAACTCCGTCTCCAGTCGCTACAAATGGAACGCGAACGTCTCAAGCAACGGCAACAGGAAATCATGCGCCAGGTCGGTGGAACAGTGGCTTTTCTCCGAGAAAACGTTCGCGTGTATTGCGTAGGAGTAACAACGCGGCTTTTTGCTTTTCCCGCAGCAAGAGTTGATGCTTCGACAGAGCACCACCGATGCTGCCATGGACCCGTTCCTGTCGGGGATCAATGAGCAACACGCGCGCCAGGAGAGCGCCGACAGTGGTTTGGGCCTTGGTTCCGCGTACTCTCTTCCACACACGCCGGAGGACTTCCTCGCGAACATCGATGATAATATGGACGGCACAAGCGGTGAGATATCCTCGCAGGTGTAGAACTATACTCGTAAAGACGTAGCGCTGGTTGAAAGACAACGGTTGTTTTTCCATCAGTTTCTGTACCGGCTCCGTAACGGTGCCCGTACTAAAAGACAGCGTTTCTTTCCCGTTTTTCTAGATGGCGGCGCACCCATGGAGACACCAGACCTTTCTACTCTGAGCGACAACATCGACTCGACCGATGATCTCGTCCCGTCGTTACAGGTGCTTAGTAAAATCGACTAACTCCACCCAAGGTACAGAGCGAGTCTCCTAACATCTCGACGTCGATTAATCGCTGTACACATGGTTTCAGCGGTCGCTGGATCTAACTCGATTAACACTAAAACTAGCAAACCCGCAATTTCGATGGACTGTAGACTCTTTGTTTCAAAATTACTGCGATTGTAAAGACGCTTCCGTGGGCGATTACAGGGTGCAACTATTTGTTCGGATGATTGTTCTAAATGCGGTCCAGCTATTTTTAAAAGGCAATACAAACTAGTCGGTTTTAATGCTCGGTAGTTGTAGGCGTTAACCCTTTGAGAACGAATGTCGCCGTGGCGACGAAATTAGAACTGCATGTTCTTATTCCAGACGTTGCAAATATACGTATAACTTGGCTGTCTGCATAACAAAAGTTTCGGATATATCGTTCGTTTCGCCCAATAGTTACATCTTTGACGAATAATCTAGTTGTCCGAGGGAAAATATCGCTCGTCCGTAAAGAGCTGTTCTATGAATTGTTCTGAAGATTATTATTTAAGGAAGTAGTTTGGGAGTTGTCAAGAGACTCGCCCTGTACACAGTGACTCGCGTATGCGATCGTCGTGGGCGTGCGGAGAGGAATGCCGGCGGAATCGAAGCGGAATGAGAATCGAAATCGACTGGGACCGTTGATGGAACCGTAACGTTATACGTAGGATCGATCGCAGGCGCGAGAGTCACTGTAAATTGCTGGCGTTGCGCGATTTAATGTTCGCCTCTCTCTCTCTGTTGTCTCGTTTGCAGTTGAGCGAAGACTTCAGTAGCGATATTCTGGACGACGTGCAGTCGCTCATAAACCCCAACACGACGAAACCCGAAAACGTGCTAACGTGGCTGTAGTGTGCGGAGACGGAGATTGTCTATGACAGGCAAGCAATCGATGAGATCGACTCGAGACAAACACAAAACAATCGCAATTTCAATACGTCTAAACCGAGCGTAAGGATTCTGGAGGATCATACCAGCCGAGCAACGACTATTCCACGCAAACGAAAGAAAGTTCAAAAACGGAAACAAAGAAAAGAGATAATCGCACGCGTACACCGGAGAAATAAGGAAACAAGGAAATTCGAAAGATTCAAGCGGAGGAGAAGAAGAAGCTAAGGCTTAATCGCGGTATCCCCCCTTGAGAACGGAGTCGCGTGTATATTATGGTTTATGTTTATACCACATCGGAACTGCCCGCGGATAAGTGTCCCAGAAATATCGACGCCGATTCGTCGCAATCGTGCTTCTTATTGGGTTCCAGATTCTGGTGGTAAAAATGGTAAAAAAGTTCGAAGCCTTGATTAATTCTAGTGTTCATGGCAAGCTTGTCTGTGTCTTCCCGGAGAGAGATCGTTGAGAGTATATCGAGCAGGCCGCAATTACCGCCCGAGGCTTCGTTTCGAACGAATCCACTGTGTTTCTTCGTTACCATTTCTACCTCTCTCGTTACACGTAGAATAATGGATAATGTTTGTTGGAATCGAATAAGGAGGTATGATTTCACTATCTTTTTACACATATACATATGTATGCATAGCAAAAGTGGAAAAGAACCTTAAGGTTTTTGGGACATCGCGTATACATGTACATGAAAACGTATACATACATACATGCATATGTATATATATATATATATATATATATATATATATATATATATATATATGTATGTATATATATATA